AAACCCAAAACCCATTGCCACTGAGTTGATTCCAACTCATAGTGACCCTATAGGTCAGAGTGGAACTGCCCCATAGGGTTTCCAAGGAGCGGCTGGGGGATTCAAACTGCCAACCTTTTGGTGAGCAGCCAAATGCTTAACCACTGCACCACCAGGGCCCATATATAGATAGATGGATAGATAGATAGATAGATAGATATGTATCTATATATAGATAGCTATGTATATATATAGATAGATATGTATCTATATATAGATAGCTATGCATATATATAGATAGATATGCATATATATAGATAGATATGCGTATATATAGATAGATATGCGTATATATAGATAGATACGCGTATATATAGATAGATATGTATATATATAGATAGATAGGTGTATATATAGATAGATAGGTGTATATATAGATAGATATGTGTATATATAGATAGATATATAATTGTATATATATATTTGTTGTTAGTTGCCATCAAGTTGAGTGTGATTCATGATGACCTTATGTATAACAGAACAAAACGCTGCCTGGTCTGTACCTTCTTCACAATTGTTGGCACTTTTGAGTCCATTGTAGTGTGTTCCAGCTTGGGGGGCTCATCTTCCAGCACTATATTGGACAATATTCTGTTGTGATCCGTAAAGTTTTCCTTGACCGATTTTCAGAAGTAGATTGCCAGGCCTTTCCTCCTACTCTGTTTTATTCTGGAAGCTCTGCTGAAACCTGTTCACCATGGGTGACCCTCCTGGTATTTGAAATACCAGTGGCATAGCTTCTAGCATCATAGTAACATGTAAGCTACCACAGTAGGACAAACTGACAAACGGGTGGTGGGGATATGTGTGTGTGTGTGTGTGTGTGTGTGTGTGTGTGTGTGTGTGTATAAATTTTTTGCATTTTAAGGTTTGCTACAATATGGGCTGCAATGTCCAAAACTAAGGGGAACATGGAAGGGCCAACCCAGATACTCAGAAAGCTAGAGTCATTATTCCCATTTTACAGATGCGGAAGACTGAGGCCTATTAAAGATACGGAGCTCAGCCCTGGCACCCTCTGCACCTGAGAGCTCCATGCAGATGCCACAGGATGGAGAGGACCTTGCCAGTCAACCCTGGTACCATGGTCCCCTGGCCCGCCAGGTACCTCCTCCTGCAGGGTCTCAGCACCATCTGTAGGGACCCTTCCCCACCCTTGGCATGCCGGGGACTCCTGAGCCCTGGGCCAGGGGTTTAGGGCCAAGGTCTTTTGGAAGCGGTGGCTAGGAGGCTGGGGACTTGAAGCTTGGTTGGCTTGGCACTGTCAGTCCTTGTATTTAAATTATTACTTTCTTTGGAATGGTGTGGGGGTTGGTCATGGAGCTCAAAGAGAAGCCAAATGCCCCCCAGAACCACTCCTTGGCCCTTCCAGTCTCTCCCTCTGGGCCCCAGGCGCCTGTGGCTGCAGGGCCCCGTGTCCCTCCTGGCATAAATAGGTTTAGGATCCATCCTCCACTGATATGACCTCCACTCATTAACTGATTACAGTAGATTGCACGATGGAAAGTGATTACATTGCATTAAATTACATTATGTGAAGTGATTACATTACATCCACAGGTATATGAGTAATAATTCCAGCACATACTTCGTGGGGACACAATTCAATCCTTAATATAAGGATTAAATGAGTTAATATGTTGGACACTTAAAGCAGTTTCTGGAACATAGTAAGAGCTATAGATGTGTCCATTGCATTTATTACTCAGCCCCCAGGTCCAGTTGGCCTTTGCCTCTCTCAGGTGTCCTGGCCCCCTAGTCCCTGTTTTGATACGAGCCACCACTGCTGGCAGAGTGCTCAAAAATACTTATAAAGGAGAGGTTTAGAGCCACAGACTGTTTGGAAGGATCCAGCTATTGGCTTTTCTGGAAGTCACATTTACATAGCAAAACAAAACGAACAAACTAAAAAAAAAATTGTCATGGAGTCGATTCCAGCTCCTAGTGACCCCATGTGTGTCAGAGTAGGGTGTTCCATAGGGTTTTCAATGGCTGATTTTTCAGAAGTAGATCACCAGACCTTTCTTCCGAGGCACTTCGGGGTGGACTTGAACTTCCAACCTTTCTATTAGCAGCCAAGCGTGTTAACCGTTTGCACTACCCGGGGATTCCCAAGATAGCACCAGCTAAACACAATAAATACCTATGGCTGGTTCGTGTCACACAGTCCCAGGTGCTTGAGGAGTGGGGATAGAAAGCTCTGCCCCAGAAGTCAGTCAGGTCCCAAGTCCTTTCTATCCTGTTGCTCCATCATCCCCTAGGGCATTGATGTCTTGCCAACAGGTAGGGTTACTGCCTATAAAAGGTCTGCTCCCATCCCATTGGCCAGACCTCATCACATGACCCTAACTGCAAGGGAGCCTGGGAAATGTAGTCCAATTTTGTGCCCAAGCAAAAAGGGGATATGGTTTGGTGAAAAAACAACCCAGTGTCTGCCACAGAAGTTAAATTGGAGTGGTTTTTGTTCTTGGGTCGGGGGATGGTCACCATTCAATGCTGGTCTGAGTCTACGCCTAAACACCCCGTCCCCTGTCCCCCATACCAGAAGGCCGAGGCTCTCCTTCAGCAAGATGGTGACTTCCTGGTTCGTGCCTCTGGGTCCCGCGGAGGCCACCCTGTGCTCACCTGCCGCTGGCGAGGCTCGGCCCTGCACTTCGAGGTGCTCCGTGTGGTCCTGCGGCCTCGGCCAGGCCGACCCCCGGCCCTCTTTCAGCTGGAGGACGAGCGCTTCCCCAGCCTGCCCGCCCTGGTCCACAGCTATGTGACCAACCAGCGCCCACTGTCCCAGGCTACAGGGGCCGTGGCCTCCCGGCCTGTGACCCGCCAGGGGCCTCTGCGGCGCAGCTTTAGCGAGGACACCCTTACAGACAGCCCAGCACGGAGAGAGCCGCTCAGGTACTCGGGACATTACCCGGTCACCCCAGGGTGTTTCAACCTTGGCACCATCAACATTTAACCAAACAATTACCATTGAGCCCATTAGGACTCATGGCGACGTCATGTGTGTGCTCCATAGGGTTTTCAATGGCTGATTTTTCAAAAGCAGGTTGCCAGGCCTTTCTTCCAAGGCACCTCTGTGTGGACTCTCAAACCTTTCTGTTAGCTGAGCATGTCATCTGTTTGCACCACCCAGGGACTTCTATCAATATTTGAAGACGGATAATTCTCTATTATGGGGGGGCATCCAGTGCATTGTAGGGTGTTTAGCAATATCTCTGGCCTTCGCCTACTAAATGCCAGTAGCAAACACACACACACCCCTAGTTGGGACAACCACAACTGTCCCCAGACATTGCCAAGTGTCCCCTGGGGAGCAGAATCACCCTGGTTGAGATCCTCTGGTTTAGAAAGAATGAATGTAGGGTTTTCTGGTCTATGGGGGGACTTACCCAATTCAGCTCAGGCTACAGTTCTCCCCCATCTCTGCCTCCAGGACTAGGAAATGGAGCGACAGTCAGCCGGCAGGTCTGGAGCATATGGGACAGTCAAGACAGGACTGTTCTGGACCAGGTGAGGGTCTACCAAAGTGACCTTGAGCAGGTAATTTAACCTGCCAGAGCCTCAATTTTTTTCCTCTGGAAAATGGGGACAATCATGCTCTCAAAGTTGTCATGAGGACTTTGTCATCAAAAAAACTCATTGCCATCGAGTCGACTGTGACTCATAGTGATCCTATAAGACAGAGTAGAACTACCTCATAAGGTTTCCGAGGCTGTATGTAATTTTTACAGAAGCAGACTGCCACATCTTTCTCCCTAGGAGTGGCTGGTGGGTTTGAACCGCCAGCCTTCCATTTAGCAGCTGAGATTTTAACCACTGTGCCACCAGGGTTCCTTGGGGACTTTGCAGGGCCTTAAAAGTATGTGTTCACAATCACTCCAAGAACTCCTTCATGTTCTGGCCCCAGCTGGCCTCTCTAACCACAACTCCTGCCATATCTCCTTGCTCCAGTCACATAGCGTTCCTTTCCGTTGCTGGAACCTTCCAAATTTGTGCCTGCCTCAGGGCCTTTGCACTTGCTGTTCCCGCTGTTGGAAAGTCCATTCCCCTAACCTTTTTCAGACTGGCTGCTGCTTCTCATCTGAAATGATTCACAAACTCCAGGGAAAGGGCTATCTTTAACCTAGCAGAAAAAAGATACAAACACATAGGGCGAGGCAGCTGAGCTCCCATGCCCCCAGGGGATAGGCTTACTCTCCCAAGAGCAGACGTTCACTCTCTCCACCCAGGAAGCCCGTTTGAGCCACCATCTTCCAAGGCCTTTTACTAGCCTTACCCTGTGGCCATGACAGATGACATCATGCCTCCTGAGGCTTAGTCATCATCAGGCCGCAGGTGGTCCCTCTTGGTCCGGCCAGCCCCCACTCTTGGGCCTCAGGTGTGGCCAGCTCTCAGGAACCAGGACCAAAGACCAAATTGTTTACCGCAAAGAGCTTACACACTTTGCATCATCCAGCGTGAGTTCCTCAATGCAGTTGACCCTGACCATCCTAGCCAAAGAAGAACTCTCCCCCTTTCCCACCCCATCCTCCCATTCAACCTGAGCCCCCATGTGTGCCAGGCACTGAATTAAGTGCTGGGATGCAACAGTGAACAAGAAAGACGAAGACCCCTGTCAAGTTGAGCTGACGTCTTATTAGCAGAAGACGGCTCACACACAACAGAGATAAGTAGATTATGTATGCTTTGTTGTTGCCACCAAGTCAGTTCTGACGCATGGCAACCCCATGTTTTACAGAATAGAACTAATCCATAGGGTTTTCTTGGCTGTAATCTTTACAAAAGCAGATCGTCCAGGGCTTCTCTTCCACAGTACCACTGGGTGTGTTTGAACCACCAACCTTTAGGTTAGCAGTTGAGTGCAAGCTATTTCTGCCACCTAGGGGCCTTATGTATGCTTGTCGTTGTTAGTTGCTATTGAGTTGATACCAATTCACGGGCGACCCCACGTGTGCAGAGGTAGAACTGTGCCCCATAGGGTTTTCAAGGCTGTGACCTTTCAGAAGCAGATCACCGTGACCTTTCAGAAGCAGACTACCAGTGCCTTTCTTCTGAGGAAGGTTCCAACCGCCAACCTTTCAGCTAGTAGCTGAGCCCTTAACCTCAATGAGAAAGATTTGAAGGAGATAAGGGAACAAATGATGTAGATAACTGGGGTTGAGAGGATCTCAGGCAGAAGGGACAGCCAGTGCAAAGGCCCTGAGGCCCGAACAAGAGTTTGAACTGTTCAGTCAACCCAAAGGAGGTGAGTGGAGCTGAAGTGGTGGGAGTGAGGGGGAAGAGAGAGATCCCGGGACTGAGATTCCGAAGGATTTTTTGTACACTGTGAGGACCCTTACTCAGAGTGAGTTGAGAACCTGGGGACAGTTTTTAGTCTCTAGCTGATGTTAGGGCTCTGGTAGTGCAGTGATTAAGCATTTGGCTGCTAACCAAAAGGTTACCAGAATCCACCAGACACTCCTTACCAACCCTATAGGGCAATTCTACTCTGTCCTATAGGTCACTATGAGTCGGACTTGACAGTAACAGGTTTGGGTTTGTGTGTGTGTGTGTGTTGAGTTGTTGTTGAGTGCCGTGGAGTCAATTCTGACTCAGTGGCCCCATGTGACAGAGTAGAACTGCCGCATGGGTTTTTCTAGGCTGTAATCTTTATGAGAGCAGGTCCACAGGTCTTTCTCCTGCAGAGCTGTTGGATGCGTCTGAGCCACCAACCTTTCAGTGAGCAGCCAAGTCCTTAACCATCGCACCACCAGAGTTTCTTTGAGCCCTGGAACAGGCGCTATTTAAATGCTGATAAATCCAGTCTCCCAAAAGTCTTGGTGCAGTTTTAAACTCTAATAACCCCAAAAGTAAACATGCTGCAACCTTACAAGAGACATCATAAGTAAATTACGTATGTTTTGTTGTTGTTATTGGCAATGAGTCGATTTCGACTCGTGGTGACCCCGTGTGTTACAGAGCAGAACTGCCCCATAGAGTTTTCTTGGCTGTAATCTTTATGGAAGCAGATCGCCAGGGCTTCTCTTCCACAGTACATAAACTTTAACATTACAGTTTATCATCTTAACCATTTCTAAGCGTACAATTCAGTGGCATCACCACTATCCATTCCTAGATCTTTTTCATCATCCTAAACAGGAACTCTGTGCTCCGTAAACAAATCCCATTACCCCCTTTCCAGTCCCTCATAACCTCTGTTCTGTGTCTGTGAATTCGCTTACCCTAAATCTTAGTGGAATCATACAATATTTGTCCTTTTGTGGCTAACCTTTTGAAGACGTTAACCCAGCATAATGTCCTCAAGGTTCAGCCATGTCATAGCAAGTATCAGAACCTCATTCCTTTGTAGGGCTGAGTAATATTCCATGGTAGGAATGGACCACATCGTGTTTATCCATTAATCTGTTGATGGCCACTTGCGTGGTTTCCAGCTTTTGGCTACTGTGACTAATGCTGCAGTGAACATTGGTGGACAAGTGTCTGTCTGAGTCCCTGCTTTCAGTTCTTTGGGGTATATACCTAACAGTGGAATTGCTGAGTCATATAGTAATTCTATGTTTAACTTTTGAGGAACCACCAAACTATTTTCCACAGCAGCTGCATGATTTTACGTTCCTACCAGCCATATATGAGGGCTCCAATTTCTTCACATCCTCGCCAATACTTGTTATTTTCCCTTTTCTTTTCTTTTTTTTCAATAATAGCCATAGTGTAGCCATAGTGGGTGAGAAGTGGTATCTTGGGGTGGGCTTTATTTGCATTTCCCTGATGACTAATTCGGGCTTGGGTTTTGGCCCAGTGGGACCCTTCAGCTTCAAGCAGTCAGCGCTAGCCCTTATGTAGTTTTGTGAATCTTGAATAATACACTTTTTCTAATTTTTTTTTTTTTAATTTTCTCGTGGTGAAAATATACCTAACAAAAACATACGCCATCTCAACAATTTCTACATATATAATTCAGTGACATTGATTACATTTTTAAGTTGTACATCCAATTTCACTATCCTTTTCCAAATCAGTCCATTAACGTAAATTCACTGCCCCCGTAGCAAAAACACCCTCTTTCGCCCTCCCTTCCACCCCTGGGGACCACTAATAATCTTTGGTTTTCATATATTTGCTTATTTCATATAAGTGAGATCATACAGTATTTGTCCTGTTGAGACTGACTTATTTCGCTCAGAGTGACGTTTTCAAGGTTCAGCCACACTGTGGCGTGCATCGGGACTTCCTTTTTCTTTACGGCTGAGTAGTATTCCATTGTGTGTACGGACCACATTGTGTTTATCCATTCATCTGTTGATGGGCGTTTCGGTTGTTGCCACCTTTTGGCCCTTGTGAACGGTGCTGCAGTGAACATCGGTGTGCAGGTTTCTGTTTGCGTTCCTGCCTTCAGTTCTTCTGGCTAGATACCTAGGATTGGGATTGTTGGGTCATATGGTAGTTCTGGTGGCGCGGTGACTAAGAGCCACGACTACTAAGCTAAAGGTCGACCGTTCAAATCCACCAGCCACTCCTTGGAAACCCTGTGGGGCAGTTCTGCTCTGTCCTGTAGGGTCGCTATGAGTCGCAATTGACTCGATGGCAACGGGTTTGGTTTTTTTTGGTTTATGGTAGTTCTGTGTTCAACATCTTGAGGAAGCAACAAACTCTTTCCCACGGTGGCTGTACCATTTTTGAATAATACATTTTTAATTTTAACTTTGTTCAATCCGTGCTTGCCATCTTCAATCAGCAGGACAAAAACAAAGAATTCAAATTTAAAATGTACTCTTCGGAATTCACATAAGTGTCGAAGTTAAATCATGTTCAAACTCTGCAAGTGTGCAGCATTTATACCAGTGAAGTTGTTCACGTTCAAGGTTGTACCTGTGCTGTGAAGATACTCTGTCATTGGCTGAATGAGTGGGCAAATGAGTGAATGGTAGCTGAATGAGTGGGATGGTAGCCCATGAACCCCTCCCCCTCCACCCTGCTGTCTTCTCTGTGTACCCCATCACCCCCTCTTGTATGACCCCCAGGAGCCTTGGCCATGCCCCCATCTGCTGTGCCTCGGACAGGCAGTGACCCCTTGCTTTTGAAGACCCAGGCTACCCTGGGCTCTGTTGCTGACAGCCTCAGGGCCTCCGATGGGCAGCTTCATGCCAAAGCACCCACCAAGCCACCCCGGACACCCTCCCTGGCGCTACCTGATGCCTCCGGACGCCCCCCAACATACTGCGAGCTGGTGCCCCGTGTGCCCAGTGCACAGGGAACACGCCCTGGCCAAGGCTGCCCAGAGCCAGAGACTCCATGGTGGGAGGCCCATGAGGAGGACCAGGAAGACAAAACTTTCCAGAGACCCCAGGCTGAGGTCTCTTTCTGCCCCCCTGACACCACATGTCGCTTGCTGGGCCCCCAGAACCGGCCCCTGGAACCCGGGGTCCTGCGTACTCTCAGGGGCCTCTTCCTGGAGCACCATCCTGAGAGCACTGCCCTCCACCTGCTGTTGGTGGACTGCCAGGTGAGTCACCTGCTGGTGACAGGTAAGGTGGCTTCAGCCCCGGTGACACCTCACACCCATATACGCATTCAGCTCTCAGGAGCTCCCTGTTCTTCCCCCCCACCCCTAGGCCACGGGTCTCCTGGGAGTGACCAGGGCTCAGAAGGGAGCCATGGGGGTCGCTTCTGGCCTGGAGCTGGTGACACTTCCCCAAGGGCATCGCTTGAGGTTGGAACTGCTGGAGAGGTGAGCCGCCCGCCTGGAACCTTCGATGGCGGGGTGGGTGCTGCTTCCCTCCTCGCCCAGGGTCTCCAAATCACTCTCCCTTCATCGCCCCTGGGTGGGGGAGGGGAAGGGCAATGCCACATCCTAAACCCTCTCGTCCCCATATTACAAACCTCCCAACTGCCCCCAGACCCTTGCCCTCCGCCTCTGCAGGCAAGAGGCGTTGGCGCTGGCCGGAGCGGTGGCCGTGCTGGGCTGCGCTGGGCCGCTGGAAGAGCGCGCCGCTGCGCTAAGGGGCCTAGTGGAGCTGGCGCTGGCACTGCGGCCGGGGGCAGCGGGGGACCTGCCCGGGCTGGCCGCGGTCATGGGCGCCCTGCTCATGCCCCAGGTGCGTGGGGAGAAGGGCTGGGGAGGGGGCCGGGTGAAGGTGACGCGGAAGAGGAGGCAAGCTCTGGTCTCATTCCGCGTACCCAGGTGTCCCGGTTGGAGCGCACATGGCGCCAGCTGCGGCAGAGCCACACGGAAGCGGCAGTAGCCTTCGAGCAGGAGCTGAAGCCGCTGATGCGGGCGCTGGATGAGAGTGTGGGTGAGTGAGGGTTTACCGCGTGGCGTCGCCTGCATCTACAGAACTACTCCATTCAGACCCCAAAGCTAATCCCAGGCCCCGCCCCTAATTCTGTCCCAGTCTCCGCCCTCTCGCCTAGGCCCTGCCGTTGACCCAGGTCCCGCTCTCTGTACTAGCCTCCACCCTCTACTTCTGCCCCAAACCCCGCCCCCTGCTTCTTCGAGGCCCCACCCTTTTGACTCTTCTAAACCCCGCCCCCTGTCCTAGGCCCCGCCCTTTACCTAGGTCTTGTTCCACACTCCATCTGCCCTCCAGTCCCCGCCCCTTCTGTCGTAGGCACCCTCCTCGGGCCCCATGACCTGCCCCCTGTTCTGTTATAGGCTCCGCCCCCTCCTTTCAGGCCCCGCCCACAGACCCTAGCCCAGCTCCTCCCTCTCCGCAGGACCCTGCGAACCCGGCGAGGTGGCGCTGCCGCACGTGGCACCCCTGGTGCGCCTGTTGGAGGGTGAGGAGCTTGCAGGGCCGCCAGACGAGAGCTGTGAGCAGCTGCTGCGCACCCTGAGCGGGGGGCGTCGCATGGCCAGGGACGCGCCCAAGTTCCGGGAGGTGGCAGTCCAGCGCCTGCGAGGTGAGCGCCCCCTCACCGCCGGAGGGCCCAGACTCCAGGAACACGGAACACCCAGCCTGCTCCAACCGGGTGCCCCACCCTCGCCTGGCGGGGAGACAGTTCATCCCGCCCCGCCTCTCAGAGTCCAGTCAAATTGATATGGCCCCACCCTAGGGGGTCTCCCACCCTAGCACGCAGCGCAGTCACCCGTATTAAGAGGGACAGTATCCCCAGCTGGAAAGGGGCAACCCCGCCCCTAGCATCACGCTCACGGAGTCCCACCCTCCCCCCTGGGACAGACCCGCCCCCAAGGCATCCGGTCCTCCCAGAACACCCAGCTCCTCACAGAATGACCTGGTAGGCGAACGGCCCCCCGACTGCTCTCAGAGCCACAGCTCTCTCCTATCCTGGGGCAGCCACAGCTCTCTCCTATCCTGGGGCAGCCCCACCTCCAGGGTCCCCCACGTGGGGCATTCCCGCCTTCAGTGACGACTTTAGCACTCCTACCTAGTCCAACCTTCCCCCAACCTGACCGGAGAAGCACCTTAGAGCAGCTAGGGTGGCCCCACCCCAGGACAGGTGGGGCCCCCAAAGTCTTTCCTCTGGGGCAGCCTGCCCCCACCAGCCCCTCAGCTCCGCCACCCCCACTGACACCCAGGAGCCCCCTCCCCGCTAACTCCACCCAGCTGCTCCCCGCACGTGGGCCAGAGTCCCTCGGGGCCCCTGCTAGGTCAAAGTCCTTAGGGGAAGGGCAGGTGCAGGGGGGTGAGGCAGCGCCCGGCCCCGCCCCTAGCCCGCCTCATCCCTCCCCCAGGATTCCGGCTGAACCCTGAGCTGAGGGAGGTGCTGACCACCAGCTTCGTGAAGAGGTTGCTCTGGGGTAGCCGGGGCGCGGGAGCGCCACGGGCAGAGCGCCTGAAGAAGTTCCAGCGCGTCCTTAGCATCCTGTCGCAGCGCCTGGAGCCTGATGACTGAGAGCTCGGCCATGTTCTTCACACCCTGGACCGCGCTATGCAGACCAAGGAAGTGGCCCCAGGCCCCTCACTCAGCTACACGTGGTGGGGATCTGTCCACCTTCACATAAGGGGGCTTACAAGAGCCCATCCTGCCCCCTAAAATGCACAAGGATCCTGAGGGGCAGCCTCTTCCCTGACACTATAAGACACAGGTGTCTGCAGGCTCTGGATACCCCTGCCCCCTCCACATATATATCCCCCACAGCTGGGACACCCAACAAGGCACCAGGAGCCCACCGATGGTGAACACGTGGCTTTTGATAAGAGAACTTAGGGAGGTGGTGTCAGAAGCCAGAGTTTGAATGCGACTCCACCTCTTTAAATGCTGTGTGACTTCTCATAGATGGCTTGCCCTCTCTGTGCCTGCCTGCAACATTAAAGTGAGACCGTGTACTTTCTAGGATTGTTGCGGGGATTAAAGCTTAATGTTTAAATGAGATCACAGGCACACAGTAGGTGCTCGATGCTACCTGTTCTCAGGAAGCTACACTGCACACAGAAGGGATAAAGTCCCATGCCCTTCACAAGCCAACTCCCTGGAGGTGGCAGGGTTTGCCCAAGGATCCTGGTCAGCCCACATCCACCTCCAGCACCCTCCTCATTGTATGGCCTGTAAGGAGGGCAGCAATGGGGGATCCAGCCCCAATATCATCCCATAATAAGGCCCAGACTCCAAGAACTTTATGTTATTTGTTTGTATATATAAAACAAAACAGCCCCAGCCTAGCGGCAGGAAGAAAAGATCTGACACATGAGTATATACATCGGTGGTGAAAGGCACAGCGGGTCCATTTGGGGTAGGGGGTGGGGGGCCAGCAGGTTACACAGGTCTCAGCCGAAGCCACGGGGGCAGAAATAAAGTGCGTAGGTCCTGGGGCCCCCCGTGGCCCAGAAGCAGCAGCCGACAGCCCCCCGCTTCCCGCCTCTGGCTCAGTTGAGCGTGACACGGAGGTAGGAGGTGGGCACATAGCCCTCCCCACCCTGTTCCCGCCGGACGCGGGTCCAGCCGTCGCCCTTGTCCTCCTCCATGAGACTGAGGTCTTCTCCCTCTGCCATGGAGATGGTGCCCTCACTGGACCCTGTCGTGGGGGTGGGCCACAGTCAGCTTTAGGCAAAGTTGACTAGAACCAAGCCGAAGACAGGCCCCCAGCAAGGAGCGTGCCTCCCAAGCCCACCTGAGCCGACCTCACCTTCGAAGTGGTAAATGGCCACACAATGACCTATGGGGGAGGCAGGTTCCTCCTCAAAGTCCTCATCGAACTCCGTGTAGATGGGGGTGTCCTGACCCTCCTCTGAGGGGGGCTCTTCAGAGCTGGTTGGGAGAGCAAGGGAGGTGAGGCCAGGCCTCCAGGGTACCCGGGGCCAGGCCTGTGGCTGGCCTCTGACTCACCTCTCCTTGTCCTGCGAGCTGTGGTTGCTGTCGTCCGGTGGGGCGCTGGCTGGGGGGTCGGGAGGCCGGGTGTGGCGGCTCAGGCTGTCCCCCCGGTTGCTCAGGACCCGGCTCTCGGCTTCTGCCAGCCAAGCCTGGGAGGAGGGGCCTCACGATCGGGTCTGGGCACACTCTGGGGTCAGCCCACTCGGGGACCAGAGGTTTGCTGAGGTCACCCATGCACACCCAAGGTGGTGATGGGAAACAGCTGGAGCTCCCCAACCCCAGCACCCTCCCTGTCCCCCCTTACACCCAGCAGTGTGACTCAGCCTGGCCCGGCAGCCCCCGCCCCTCCCCAGAGGCCCCCATTGGGCCTGCCCTTACCTCATACTTCTGCACTTCCAACTTCAGCCGTTCGATGTTGCTCAAGGTTTCCGTGATCTGGGGCTCCAGGCTGGCGGGGTCCCCCATCTGGGGTGTCTTCTCATACACATCCTTCATTTTCTTCAGGGCTTCCCTAGGACCAGACAGACAGATGGACAAGAAAGAGGAGCCCCATGTGATTAAACAAGTAAAAAATAGGGGCTTGGTTTCAATCAAGCAAGTAGCAAGATAGTACAGAGGTTACGAGCCCAAATACTGGTGCTTGACTGCCTGCTTTCAAATCCCAGCTTCGGCTTTTCCTAACGGTGTGAGCTGGGGGGAAGTTACTGAACCCTTGCCTCAGTAAGCTTGTCTCAGAAATGGGAATGATACTGACATGTGCATACACATATACCCAGGAGCCCTGGTGGCACAGTGGTGAAGCACTCAGCTGCTAACCAAAAGGTTGGCAGTTCGAACTCACCCAGCGGCTCTGTGGGAGAAAAGACCTGGTGATCTGCTCCCATAAAAATTACAGCCTAAGAAACCCTATGGGCAGTTGTACCCTGCCCTATAGGATCGCCATGAGTCTGAATCGGTGGCACACAACAAAACAACATACAAATGCACACAGCCCTCATGGAGGTGGTGGTTGTGAGGATTAGAACAGTGCCTGGGACATGGTGTTGCTGTTAGTTGCCATTGACGACCACAGGCATGATGGAAAGAACACTGTCCCATCCTGCGCCATCCCTGTATTCAGCTGGGGATCAGGCCGTTGTGATCCACAGGGTTTTCTCTGGCTGAATTTCAGAAGTCAATTGCCACATCTTTCTTCCTAGTCTGTCTTAGTCTGGAAATTCTGAAATCTGTTCAGCAGCCTAGCAACATATAAACCTCCAGTGACAGATCGCGGGGGAATAAAGGGGGGTGGTGGCTGCACATGAGGTGCATTGGCGGGGAATGGAACTCAGGTCTCCCCCATGGAAGGTGAGAATTCTATCAGTGAATCACTGATGCCCCCATTGGTATAAAGAAAGTCTTAGCTATGGTTCATTCATTCATGTATTGAGTGAGTACCTACTACATTATCAGGCACTGGTCTAGGCGCCATGAAAGTAGTACTGTAAACAAGACAAGATCTCAATTCTGTTCGGAATCTCAGGAAAATTTGGGAATTCTAGTGAATCCATGTAAAGGGCTTACAATAGTGCCTGGTATATAGTAAGTACTGTATAAATGCTAGGTATTATTATCACTAGTCCCACCATCCCTGTCCTCCTCCCAGTCTCTCTCTATATATAGGCAGTAATGGTTACAAGGGAGTCCCTGGCTGGTGCAAACAATTAACGTGCTCAGCTGCTAACCTAAAGGTCAGAGGTTCAAGTCTACTCAGAGGCACCTTGGAAGAAAGGTCTGGCAATCTACTCCCAAAAAACCAGAAATAGAAAAACCTATTGAGCACAGTTCTACTCTGACACACATGAGGTCACCATGAGTCAGAACCAATTTGACCGCAACTAGGTTTAGTGGTTACAAGCAGAGACCTTTGGGATATGTCAGACCTGGGCTCAACTTCTTTCAAGTTCTAATGCCTGAGGAAAATGATGAAGGATGAGGAAATGGCGAAGCAAGCTTCCTGAGGCCTCGGAGACAGCTGAAATTCAAGGGCAGTTTGCCTTGATTCCAGAGCATATATCCTTAACCCCTACACAATACTGCTCAAGAACTTTATAGTTCCGAATGAAACTTTGCACCAATAAAAGCTGTTTTCTCCAAGAGGTTATATGCAGACAGCAAGATAGAATTTGGCTGCCTATTTACAAGTGGCAAACGTCATTCCTATTATGTAACAGGACTGGAAGAGGATCTTCTTGCTTGGAAAGAGTGAGTGAGTGAAGACTTTTTTTAAAATCTGGCAGATTTTTTATTGTTAATATTTTAAGTGCTTCAGTTATTTAAAGAGATATCCAAGTGCTTTTTTTTTCTTTTAGCCAATTAATGTGGTGAATTAGATAGATAGATTTTTTTATATCGAACCATCTTTGCATTACTGGGATAACACCAAACTGATAACATGATGTATTATTTTTTAATACACCATTTGCTTGGCTAGGATTTTGCATCTAAGATCATGTTGTTGTTAGGTGCCATCCAGTCGATTCTGACTCATAGCAACCCCAGAGTAGAACTGCCCCATAGGGTTTTCTTGGCTGTAATCTTTTTTTTGTTTTTCAATTGTACTTTAGCAGAGCAAATTAGTTTCTCATTAAACAATACACATATTGTTTTGTAACACTGGTTGCCAACCCCACGACATGTCAGCACTCTCCCCTTTTCAACCTTGGGTTCCCCACTACCAGCTTTCCTGTCCCCTCCTGCCTTCTCGTCCTTGCCCCTGGGCCGGTATGCCCATTTAGTCTCATTTTGTTTTACGGGTTGGCTGTAATATTTACAGAAGCAGATCGCCAGGTGTTTTCTCCCGCGGAGCAGTCAGGTGGGTTCGAACCGCCAACCTTTTGATTAGCAGCCAAGTGCTTAACCATTTGCACCACCAGAGCTCCCTTCTAAGATCATGAGTCAAATAAAATGAGCTCATAATTTTATATTCTTGGATTCTTGTTAGATGATTTTGGAATCAGGATTCCCCCAGCCGCCTAAATGAGCTGAGCAGCTTTCACTCTTTTTCTGTTTGCTGGAATGAATTGTATAAGATGGGAATTAACTGTTTCTGGCAAGTGTAGTAGAAATCACCTGTAAAACCATCGGGGCCTGGGGTTTGTTGAGGAGAAAGTTCTTTGAGTACCACTGAAATTCAATTCATTTATTATTTTATGTTGTTCCTTATCTGCTTCCTCCTGCTTACCTCTGGTCGACCTCCTTCTGTAGTTCCCGATTACGTTCTTCCAGCTGCTGTTGAAGCCGCTTTCTCTGCTGCTCCGGGGGCAAGTGGCTGAAATCCTCCGTCACCACTGTCTGCAAAGCGAGAAGACAAGCGAATTTGGGATCATGGAGTCCCAGCTTTCAGGCTCTGTACACTCATAAAATACGCCAAGTCCACCTTCCTCCCGGTCCAACTTTCTTAGGGGCACGGCCATGCACAGAGCAAAGCAGGTCCAGGTTAGGCAACGGGTGAAGGAGCCCAGCTGGCGGCAGGAAGCTAGCCCAGGGTCCCGCCACCCAGCTGCTGGGCGGGCTAGGGCCGCCCTCTCCTCCCCCAAGGCCTCACTTACCCCACGGCTGCCGCGAAAGCTGCGGAAGGATGCTAGCCGCGGTTTGACCGACTTACTGATCTCGCTCAGTATGGCCAAGGGGTCACGGCCGGAGCGGGGGGACGGGGGTCCATTAGGCAATGCCGAGGGCAGGGGGCCCCCCAGGGGGGAGAGTGGTGGGGAGCGTGGCTACCGGTGGGGGCCGGGGAGGGGATGGGGCCGAGGGTAGAGAACCAGGACGATGAACGGAGGGACGCAAAACAGAAAAAAAAGGAAACACAAAATGGAGAAAGAAAAAAAAAACGGTAAGAAATCCACAACTCAAGATGCATGACCACACACAGAGCAGAAAACGAAGGGGAGAGTAACACAAAAATCTAGAAGGCGGGGGTGGGGGCATTAGACTGTGAGCCAGAAGGCCGGAGCCCTCCCCATTCCCGTTTCTCCTACGTCCCTTGAGCCCCACGTCCAGTACCCAGGATGGGGTCTGCAGGGCACAGAGGCCCCCATTTCTGTCCACCCAGCTCTCTGGGCTCACAGTCTAGAAGGTGGGGGAGACAGGTGCAGGGACCAAGGTCTCAGACAGGTGTGGGGGCCACAGAAGTCAGCCAGGCTGAGAGAGGGGTCAAAGGCAGTGACTGGAGGGGTTACAGCTGGGCGGTCAATAGTTAATCTGAAGGGTCGGATGTGTAAGTCAGGTAGGGGTATCCAAGAATATGTCAGGAGAGTTCAAAAGTATAAACAACCAGGGGGGCCAACATATAAACTGGGGGGGGCGGGGCTTGTCCAAGGTATAAACCTGGGGTGTCAGTTATATGCAGTAATATGAAAGCAAAAATCCCAAGGGAAAGGGATCTGAGGCTGGGGACCCAGGGGCCCATCGGCAGTATAGTCTCCAGCCCTCAGCCCAGCCCTGGAGTCCACCAGCAGCTCTTCTTCCAGCATCCCACGAAGCAGCAGACAGACGCCACAGGCCCCCCTAACCTGCCCCCCCCTCAGCCTCAGGGGACACCCAGGCCAACCCGCCCGCCTGCCTTCCTTCCCTCCAGCCCGGGCCGGCAGCCAAGAGGAAAATTCCTGCCCGGGACTCAGCGTTCCGGCAGCTGGGGCAGACTCAGTGGGGGCCACCACGGTCCCCATTCCCAGCCCCCTAGGGCCCCGGCCCCCACCTTGTTCTTCTTGCCGAAAGGCCAGCGCTTGGCGCGGCTGCGGCCAGGACCACGGAGCTCCGGCCGTCCATCAGAGGGGGTGCCCAGGCTGCTGTCAGAAGGCGCACGGTTCATGGGCTGGCTGAAGTCTTCGAATTCCACATCGCCCGGGCGGGCGAAACCTGACTTGTGTAGCTCAATGAGGACGTGGGAGTCCTGGGGGAGAGGGCAGCAGGTGGGCAGTCAGGGGCAAGACTGGGTGCCCAGAATTGGGGGCCCTCCCCCTGCCCACCCAACCGGGACCAGCCACGCACACTCTTGGCATCCACAGCATCCGAGGCCACCTTCATGCCCTCCAAGCACTTGGCAATAATGGGTACCACCTGCAGCTCGGCGTCAGACAGAAGCCCATATCCAGCCCCCAGGCGGGCTGCACGACGTTCGTCCATGTCTTGCAGCTTCTGCAGAGGTAGGGGCTTTGGAAAGTCACTCAAGTCCTCTACCTCCCTTTTCCTCACCTGTTGAAGGGGGAGGCTCAAGAACTGCTAAATGAGTGACTCTGGGCAACTTCTGTGCCTCTGTCTTCCTCATCCATGAAATGGGTATGCTGTTGCAGGCTTAGCGGTGCTGAGGGAGGGGCCAGGGGCAAAGTATGAAGATCCACAGTGGATGAGCCCAAAGTAGTCAAGGTGGGAGATGCACAGGACCAGTGACTCTTGGGGAAGGAAATCTGAGGACCCCCACTAGCCTAGGAAGTCAGAAAAGGCTTCTCAAAAAAAAAAAAAAGCAGGGGAAGGGGAACAAGGGAGCTAGAGCTTTGAAGAAAAAGCAGACCCAGCACAGACACTCCCAACTTCAGAACTGGGACAGGGAGTGGAGTATGAGGCTAAAACAGAAGAGGGAAAATTTGAGACTGGTGGTGCAAACGGTTAAGCGCTCGGCTGCTAACCAAAAGCTGGGTGGTTCAAGTCTACCCAGAAGTGCCTTGGAAGAACAGCCTGGTGATCTACTTCCAAAAACTCAGCCATTGAAAACCCTATGGAGCACAGTTCTACTCTGACACACACGGGGTTGCCATGAGTCAGAGTCGACCCGACAGCAACTGGTTTTCTGAGAGCTGGGGCTTAGAAGGATGAGTAGGAGTTTCAAAAAGGAAGAAAGGCATTCCTGGCAGAAAGAACAGTTTGAGCAAAAGGCAGGGCTCACTGTGTCTGTGCTTCTGATTCCCTTTCAGTCTAGGGGTTAGGACATGGCAGCTGGGGTTTTGATGCAAGTGTAGGAGTTGGTCACCTTTTGGAGTTTTTCGGGAAGGTAGGGCTTTGAGCACTTACATCAAATATCTGGGGCATCTGGGAAAAGTAGAAGTGGGCCTGGTCTCGGTTGAAGCGCTGTAGTTGGGCTGCATATTCATTTTTGCTTTCTTCTGCCATGTGACTCCGGAGGTGAGCTTGCTGTTTGGCCTGAGGAGTATCAGGGCAGGGGTCTCTGTCAGGTTCTGGCCTTGCCCAACCCACCCCCCAGGCCTGCCCCAGACTCCACGCGCACCTTCTCCACGTCAGCCTTGGTGGCATTAATATCCTGGTCTAGCCGCTCAGCAGTCTGGGCTGCCTTCTCGGCCTCCCGGCAGTCCCGCTCAAACTTACGCTTGCTCTGTGTCGAGGAAAGAACCAGAATGAAGGAGCCCCCACTCCCCAAGCTAGGGGGTGGGCAACCAAGGTTTCAGCAGCTGGTGGGACATCGCCCAGTAAGTGGGGGGCAGTGGGCATGCTGGGAGCCCACTGCGGGAGTCTAGACCAGACAAAAGGCGCAGCTTTGTGTATTGGCCACCCTCACCCTGCTCCTCTGGGTCAGAGCCACACTCCACCCCCTGAAACTCACATTCTCCAGCTGTTTGAAGCCATTTTCCAGCTGCTGCTGGGCCCGCCGACCTTCCTGGAAGTGCTACGGAGAGAGGGGTGACAAGTCTCACCTGGGTTCCAGCAGTCCCTGGGTAGCATAAACGGTGAAGCACCTGACTACTAAGCAAAAGGTTGGTGGTTCGAACCCACCCAGAGGTACCTCGGAAGAAAGGCCTGGTGACCTGCTTCTGAAAAACCAGCCATTGAAAATCCTGGGGAGCACGGTTCTACTCTGACACACATGGTGTCGCCACGAGTCAGAATCAACTTGAGTGGCAACTGGTTTTGGGTTTCGGTTCCAGCAGGGGCCCTCGGTAAGACCCAGGGAGGGGTGCACCCACCATCTTCCTCTCCTGCTTCATCTCCTGCGAGTACTTGGCCAACTCAAGGCACACGCGGACGCTCAGGTTCTCAGCCACCAGCTCCCGCTGCCCGGCAAAATCGTTCACCTCCTGGAGAATTTGCATGAAGGACTGCTGCTGGCTGAACCTGGGGTGGAGTTGGGGGCAGGCAGCCAGCAGTCAGGCCCCCTAGGAGTCAGACGCCCTAGGACCCACCTCCAGACAGGGAAGAGTAAGCCCCGAGACATTCATCCCTGAGACAATGATCATTCTATTCCATGATCCCTTACCCCCAACCCTTGAGTCAGACGCATTCTGGAACTCAGGAGTCTTAGGATTTTAGAAAGTGGATGCAGTTTTGATAGCGTCTATGACGCATCACCCCCAGTGGGGTAGGGGGCCGATTCTGTAATCAAACACCATAAATGTTTTTTGCAGTGAGAGGTATTAATAGCCACACTAAGTAAAATCAAACCAAGACTATAATTAACATCATCACATCAGCTCGGGTGAGAGGTTGCTGCCAAGTAAGTTACAAAAAACTTTTCATTTCTAGAGCTTTTTGGGTTTTGGAATTGGGGGGCTTGTAATAAAGTCAAGAGGAGCCCTGGTGGTGCAACGGTTAAGCGCTTGGCTGCTAACCAAAAGTTTGGTGGTTCAAACCCATCCAGCAGCTCTGCAGGAGAAAGACCTGGCGATTTGCTCCATAAAGGCTAACCAAAAAACCAAACCCATTGCCGACAAGTCTAGGAAACCATATGGAGCGGTTCTACTCTGACCCTTGGGGTCCCTGTGTACTGGAATCCACTTGATGGCACACAGCAACAACAGTGAAATCAAAAGAGTCCCTCCATGGTGCAAACGGTTAAGCGCTCAACTACCAGCCAAAAGGTTGGTGGTTCGAACACACCCAGAGAGGCCTCGGAAGACAGGACTGGAGATCTGCTTCAGAAAGGTCACAGCCTTGAAAACCCTATGAAGCAGTTCTACTCTACACATGTGGTCACCATGAGTCAGAATCAACCCCATGGCAACTAAGAACAACAATAAAGTCAAATACTTGTACAACACTTACTATGCTGGGCACTGTTTTAACATATTCATTGACTGAACATGAGCACCACGTGGGAGGTTGCATCAGCAGCAGCTTGCCCATTTCATGGATGAGGAAGATGGAGGCACAAACTTGCCCAAAGTCGCTCATTTAGTAGCTGCTGGAGCCTCCCCATTTAATGATGTTGCTGGGTGCCATCGAGTGGTTTCCGATTCATAACGACCCCATAAGGCAGAGTAGAACTACCCCACAAGGTTTTCTAGGCTGTAGTCTTTATGGGAGCAGATCGTCGGGCCTTTCTCCCAAAGAGCTGCTGGGTGGGTTAAGACCTCTTGGTTAACAGCCCAGCCTTGAACAGTTGCACGACCAGGGCTCCTTCCGCATTTAACAGGTGAGGAAAACGGAGGCAGAGAACTTTGAGCGACTTCCAAAGCCCTCAGCTAATAAGCAGTGGGCTTAGGAGTCCAACCCAGGTGATGCGGACCCGGCACCCAGAACTCTTACCTCTATCTAGGCAGAAAGGAGAGGTGGAGGGATCTGCCTGGAGATCGCCCAGCTGAGGGACAGGAAGTGGGACCAACCCGGCCCCAAAGTCAAGCCCTGCGCCCTCTCCCCATCCTTACTTGGACTCGGGGTCATCCTTGGCAGTTCTCTTGGGCAGGTATTTTTTCACCAGGTTCCTACGGGGAGACAGGCAGGCAGGCTGAGCCCCCAGCCCTCCAGCCCAGGCCGCTAGCCCACGGACCGGTCCACCCTAGAGTCTCACCGCAGCTGTTTCGCGTAAGCCTGCTCCACCTCGGTCCGCTCTTTCACGAACTTCACGTATCTGTCCAGCAGGTCCAGCCCCCACTGCGTGTGGCGCTCGAGCACCTCAAACTGATCCTGGGGGGCGGGGAGGGGCCGGGGTCACGACCTTAAGACCCCAAAGCCGCAGGACAACTAGGGGCCCCGGGAATTCCAAGGCTGGGAGCTCCGAGGAGGCGTGGCTTCCAGGCCCCGCCCCGGCGCGGCGCGGCGCGGGACGGGGTGGGAAGCAGGAAACCGGCGGGAACCCCCTCCTCTTCCCGGGAAGGGCCAGGGAAGGGGCGGGGCTCCTGCAGGACGACAGGGACCAAGACGGCCTCCAAACGTCTCCAAACGGCCAAGACGGGTGTGGAATGGGGCAGGGCCCCTCCCCTTGCCCGGACTCCCCTAATCCCCCCCAGATTCCGGAAAATCCAGCCGGCCCGGCTCGAGTCAGGGCCAGAGGGGCAGGGTTCCCGCAACTTGGAGGGGCACCGGTCTCCATGCTTCCCGGGGACCCCTAATGAGTGACTCAGTTTCCCCCCACTGACTCCACGGAACCTCCTAAACATATCCCAGAGTTGGGGGGGGGCAATCTAGCTACCCCGCTGCACCCAGGAACCCAGGGTTACCCCCGCCCACAGAAAGGGAGGGGGTCAGAGGTCGGGGATAGGAGGGGGGAAATTTCTGGGGCTTTCAGGGCTGGGATTCGAGGAGGCCAGGTGCTGGGGCAGAACCTCGCAGCTCCCTCCCCTCAAGGCATCCCAAAGCCTCTAGAAGCGACAGAGAGGGCAGTCCGGAATTCTGAGTCCCACGTGCAGGAAAGATTAGCCAGAGGGTCCCCTCCCCCCCGCCCAGCCGGACAGGCGGGCGGCGGGCAGGGACCCAGGGGCCGTAAGATAAGCCGCCGGCCGGGCCAGGGCGCCCAAAATAGGTGACCTCGCCCGGCCGCCCCGGCCTGGTCCCTAGACTTCTGCCCGCCTCACTGTGAACGCGGTGCCTCAGTTTCCCTACGTAGCTCCTGTAAGGTCGCCCTTCGCCCCCAAGCGTCCTGCAGCCAAACTCCAAGAGAACGCGGAGGGCGGGGACCCGGGGATCGGAGAACGGGACAGCGCGGAGGCTCTCACCAAATCTCAGCGGGGCAAAGGAGGGCGCCTGGACCTTAGTGAGGGGGAACTTGGTGCCGAGACGACGGGACTCACCCACAGCTCGGTGCCCCAATCCATGCTGCTCTCGCCCAAGCCGCCGCCGCCACCCGGTCCCCGCCGCCTGCGCCCGCCGCGGGGAGACTCAGCCCAGGGCTGAGCGCCCGGCCCCGCCCCGCCCCTGCCCTGCCCACTCCCGAATAAACCACGCCCCCGCAGGCTCAGCCCCGCCCCGCCCGCGCATTGCCGAAGCCCAGACGCCCTAGGGGCGTGGCACTGAGGGGGCGTGGCCTACAGAACGCCCCACCCCTTCCTAAAGGAACTGGGCCACCAGACGCCTCCGGACCGACCCCTTAAAGGACCCCCACCCGTTTTCCAAATCCCCGATACCCCTGTCACCCTATCCCCTCCGCCCCGAGCTGTTTCTTTCCCTTTACCCCTCAGCCATTCCTTAAAGGGCCAAGAACTAAAACTCCAACCCAAGAAGTACCCCTCCACCCGGTCGCAGGGAGAACCTGAGGTCACCCGGCTCTTGCCGGCCGGCCGGACTCCAGGTGTCTACGCTCGGCCCGCTAATGGTCTGGTCCCTCCGGCCACAGGGCGGATGGGAGGACTTCGATCCTGCCCGGACGCGCCTCCGCCAAGGCGGTGTCCATTAGCGCCCCCACCGCATCCTGCCTTCCCTCCCCGAGTCTCCGCCAGCAAACTGAGGACGGGTCGTCCTTGGGGCGCCAGGCCCAGGCCTTTCCCCGGCTCCCGGACAGCTCGCTTGTGTTTGCACCTGCCCACTTCCCTGTCTTATCCATTAAGGCCCATTCAGGTTTAATTGACCGTCCTGACCCTAGGATCTCTATTCCTGCCGTCCTCCAGACGCCCGGGCCCTGGGGCTTGGAAGTCGGTCGCCTCCTCCATAAAGTCTGTTCACACCTTGTAAATACCTTTGAGGCCCTGGGATGAAAGGGGAGAAGCCCCAGCGGCTCCTACCCCCATCCTTTTTGGCCTTTGGCGCTTTCTCTGTGGCTACAGAGGTGGCAGACGCCATGCTGGGGCTCGGGGACTTCGGCCCCACGGGACAGCTTAGACTCTGAGCTGGAGAGATACCAGGGAGCCCAGGAGGATAGCTCCAGGAGCCCACACTGCAACAGATGGCTCTGCTGGGACCTGGCCCCACCTTCTGGTGGCCCTTGGGCCAGAAAGCCTCAGACTGCAAACTGGGCTGTGCCCCAAATATTGGGGGGTCAGATTACGTCAAGGGCTTAGCCGGGGTCTGGACTAAGTCTGGATTAGGACAGAGTTCTGGGCTCCGCCCTGGTCAGAGACTCAAATTGGAATGGGGGTTCAGCCCAGGTCAGCACCACAGTTGCGTTGGGGTCTCTGACTGCGGTCGGAAGCGTAGCAATCCCAGTCAGGAGTTGGGAACTCAAAATAGTCTAGGCGCCAGTCTGGGGTCAAGACTCAGTCCAGGTCAGGGACTCAGTCAGAGATTAGGGATCAGCGTGAGTCAAGGGTTTCAGTCTGAGATCAGCTCTCAGTCGCAGGTCCGGGGCTCAGCCTGGGGTTATAGGTCATCCTAGGGTCAAGATGTATCCTGGATCCAGATTTAGGCCTCTCTGTGGACCAGGGAGACTAGAAGAATAGGACTGGCCTTGGTAGATGCGCGTGTTTACCAAGAGCCTGAGCTCTGGCTCTGAGGTGCGTCTGTGGGGTAAGAAGGGGAAATCCGTCCTTGGGGATACTGGGAAATGTAGTTCTTTTTATGCATTGTTGAGCGGGCTGCTCCTGCTGCATTCTGGGAAATGTAGTCCTGTATCGGTCTGTCAGTTAAGATGAATTCCGCTTCACAGGGCCGGATATCAGACCCATTATAATTGGTTAATGCCCTGTTTATCAAATTACATCCGACACTATCTTTCTGGTGATTGGTGGCAGTGGGGGGGCGGAGTTAAGTTGTATAAGCACTCCTATTCGAAAGCAGTGCAGTCCATCTAGGGTCATATTGGGGCGGGTTTGCGAGGACACGATCGATGACTGGCTGTGAGGGCTGGGAAAAGCCGAAAAGGCGGGCCCACTGTGCAGCCATTGGCTCATGGGTAGGCGGGCCTGAGGGCGTCAGAGACGGTGTCAGAGGAGGCGGCAGCGCCAGAGATGGCAGTGAGCGAGAGGAGGGGGCTCGCCCGCGGGAGCCCCGTGGAGTGGGGGCCGCGGCTGCTTCTGCTGCTGCTGTTGGCCGGCTGCTCCGGGCGCATCCACCGGCTGACGCTGACGGTGAGGCCCGCCGTGCGGTGGTCCGGGGCGAGGAAGGGTGCGGCTTTGTCCTGGAGAAGCCCCCAGCTTGGAGTGGTTTCGTCCGTCCTCTCCTGCTCCTTATGCAGAATGGAGCGGCCCGGCGCCCCCCTTTTCCAGGCCTGAAATGGTCTCGTCCGATCCCCCTCGGTCGTCCCGGTGGAATTGCCTGGCCGGCTGAGTTGGGGTCCTGCCCCACCCAGTGAGGGCGGGGCTTCACCTCCAAGAAACCCCCGCACCCGACAGACACGCTCCTTGTTGCGTTGTTGTTGTTAGGTGTCATGGCGTCGGTTCCGACTCTTAGCGACCTTATAAGACAGAATAGAACTGCCCCATAGGGTTTCCAAGGAGCGGCTGGTGGATTTGAAGTGTCGACCTTTTCTTTAGCAGCTGAGCTCTTAACCACTGCGCCACCAGAGCTCCGCCCACACTCTTAGCCGTTTAAATTCTTGAGATCACTTTGGGGGCGCTTAGGGAGACTTACGGTCGCTCTGAGTCGGAATCAACTCAACAGCAACGGATTTAGGGAGCCTTGAGGCTGTGGAGGGGGCCTCTAGGAGGTCTGGAGTGGGGTCTTCTGGCATTCATTGGGATCTTGGGGCTCGATTGAAATCTAAACACTTTCCCGGGAGGTGAGGGTCAGGCTTCGGGGTCCATCTAGTGGGGGGAGTTGCAGGTACCCCAGGGTTTATCTTCCTGGATTCCCACAACAGTGGCCAGAGAACCCGGGGGCACCCTGTCCCTGCCTGGCATGGATCCGGGGAGACAGCCCCCTCTGTCGCCATTTATTGCCGTTGTTAGGTGCCGTTCAGTTCATTTTCGGCTCATAGTGATCCCATGTGACAGAGTAGAACTGCCCCATAGGGTTTGGTAGGCTGTAATCTTCACAGGAGAAGGAACCCTGGTGGTGCAATGGTTAAGCCCTCGGCTGCTAACTGAAAAGTCGATGGTTTGAACCCACCAGCCAGTCCACGGGAGAAAGATGTGGCAGTCTGCTTCCATAAAGATTACTACCCTGTGGGGCGGTTCTGCTCTGTCCTATAGGGTCTCCATGAGTCGGAATCAACTGGACGGCAATGGGTTTGGATTCGTTTAGTTTGGTAGTCTTGACAGGAGATCTCCAGGTCTTTCTCTCTCTGAGCCACTGGGTAGGTTTGAACTGCCAGCCTTTTCAGTTAGCAGCCGAGCACTTAACCACTGCGCCACCGTGGCTCCTTATCACCCTTTGGATCTGTATTATAGGAAGGGGTCCCAGGTGGGGGCTGAGACCCTTGGGGTAGCCTCGTGCTATGCCAGGGCCCTGGGGCTGGGCTACCAGGCAGGGAAAGTCTGAGCTGCCTCTGCCTCCTTGGTCTCCGGCAGGGGGAGAAGCGAGCAGACATCCAGCTGAACAGCTTTGGCTTCTACACCAACGGCACCCTGGAGGTAGACCTGAGCCTCCTTCAGCTGGGCCCCCAGAAGACGGAAGAGAAGACCCCACTGGTGAGGGGTGTGGGCGCACGAGCTCCAGAGGCCCCCGCTTCTGGGTGTGCCTCCCAGCTCTGCCACACCCACGTGACCTTGGGCCAGTCCCTTGCCCCCTCTGAGCCTCAGTTTCCCCATCTGTAACATGTTGCTGTTGTTAGGTGCTCTCGAGTCAGTTCCTACTCATAGCGACCCTACATACAACAGAACGGAACACTGCCCAGTCCTGGGCCATCCTCAGTCATTACACTGGAGCGCATTGTTGCAGACACTGTGTCAGTCCATCTCGTTGAGGGTCTTCCTCTTTTTCACTGGCCCTCTACCAAGCATGATATCCTTCTCCAGGGACCGGTCCCTCGGTAACATGGGGATAATGATATCTCATGGGATAGGTGCCAGGCGCTGTTTATAAGAGTTGAACAAGACACCCCAGTTCTTAGAGTCAAAAAGAATTAAGAGTACCCGTTGCTATCAAGTCAGTACTGGCTCATGGTGACCCCGTACGTGTCAAAGCAGTACTGTGCTCCATAGGGTTTTCAATGGCTGGTTTTTCAGAAGTAGATCTCCAGGCTTTTCTTCCCAGGCATCTCTGGGTGGACTTGAACCTCCAACCTTTCAGTTAGCAGCCAAGTGTGTCAACTGTTTACACTACTCAGGGATTCCAGTCAAAATGAATAGCTAGCATTTTTATGGAACGCCGACTAAGTCACCAGATGCCATGCAAAGGAATTTTCAGGGGGTTTTTCCCCCTAAGAGCTACTGCTCAGGGTTGCCATGAAAATTCTCTGAATTCAATTCTACAGGTATGGACACAGGCTCGGAGGTGTGTGACTTACTTAGAGTCACCCAGACCCAGATGCCTTCCATTCGACTCCAACTCAAAACGACCCCATGTGTGTCAGAGTAGAGCTGTGCTCCATAGGGTTTTCAGTGGCTGACTTTTTGGACATAGATCACCAGGCCTTTCTTCCGAGGTGCCTCTGGGTGGACTCGAACTGCCAACCTTTCGGTTAGCAGCCGAGCGTGTGAACCTTTGCACCACCCAGGAACTGTGCTCACCTGGAAATGGCAGAGCCTGGACTCAAATCCAGATGTGCTGGATTCCAGAACCAAGGCCGGAAGTCACCCACGTTTTAAATGAGGGAAACACAGGGTGGGCTAGGTCCAGAGGACCAGGGAATGTCGCCTGAGGAAGTGACATCCAAATTGAGTCTTGAGGTCAATTTTGGGGTACATAGGGAGCCTTGGGGTGGTTAGGAGTTAAAGGAAGAGAATGGGGGGGATGGGTTGTTAGAAAATTCCACGAGAGAACGCGGGACCTGGCACATAGTAGGCGCTCAATAAAGTAGATGGGCCGTCATTCCTGTTGAGACTGGCAGGGGTGGCGGGCGATCCGGGCTACAGTCCCTCACGCCCTCCCCTTTTCTTTCCACCTGCCAGGTGGGCTTCAGCCTGACCCGGGTTCGATCTGGCAGCGTTCTGTCCTACTCTGTGAGTGGAGGGAGTGGGAAGGAAGTGGGAGGCTGGGGTTTGTCTGCCTTCTGCACCTGGAAGCCAAAGACCCCTTGCTTTTTCCCAGAGGCAGCAGGAGACCCTCCCTGTTGCGGGTGGATGGGGAGGGAGGCAGGGCTGGGTCTGCAGGAGGGGTAGCCCAAGCCCCCTCTTCCCACTCCCCAGCCCCAGGAGCCCTACGACTGTCCCCTCCAGAAAAACAGCAGCAACCTCCTGGTCCTCTTTCTCATCAACACCAAGGACTTGCAGTGAGTTGGGGGGCCGAGGGCTCGCTAATACCCATCACCCATGTTTCCCCGGGTGTGACACCCACATCTCCCTGGTGTCGGGGAACCAGAAGCCAACTGCAAAGAACCCAGACGCCCATAGTGGGAACACGGTTCCCTCTGTCCTTTCGCCTCCAAACCATCAGATTCTGGGAAGGAGGAGGAGAGAAGAGGGGTGCTGAGGGAGCGTTGGGGTCTCACAGTAGAAGCCTAGGACGCAGAGGGTCGTTGTGAGAATAATAACAACTCTTAACACTTACTGAATGCTTCAGGTGCGCCAGGCAGGGAACTGGGAGCTTTATTCCTTCTACCATTATTATCCCCATTCTTCAGATGAGAAAACCGAGGCCCCAGAACTGGAATTCAGATCCAGGCCGCCTGGTGCCAGGGTCCTATGATACCATGTTGCCTCTCTGTAGATAAAATTTTCTTTTGAAAGAATGCACTTAAGTTGAACGAGTGAGTCAATGTAACAACAAATAATCTCTAGAGCACATGTGGCAGCCATCTTGGTGGGGGGCTCAATGGTCAAGCTCAAGAGATGTAAGTTTGCCACCACTGGTGCTGCCCTCCAGGGAGGAGACCCAGAGGTTCCAAGGGGTCATTGAGTCCTTTGGCACAGGTTGTATGCCTGTCCCCAGCCTGCCAGCCTCCTCCCCTCCACCCCCTCGCCTCCCCCCAGGGTCCAGGTGCGAAAGTATGGGGACCAGAAGAAGCTGTTCATCTTTCCTGGGCTCCTCCCTGAGGTGCCCTCCAACCCAGGACCCCCGAAGCCAGGGCCTTCAGCCACCCCCAAGGTGGACAGTGGTGAGTCATGCCAGCCATGAGGGCAGGGAGGGGTGACTGGGCAGGGCTGCTCCATGCCTGCCCCCGTCTTCCTGCTGTCCCTCTGTCTGTCCGTCCCTGAACTCATTCGCTGTCCTCACCTGGCCTGATCTCATTCCAGTAGCGCCCTCCACGATCAACAAGGATGGGCCAGTGCTTTCCACAGTGTCTCAAGAAAGCCAGCAGGTTTGGGGGAGCCAGGGCGGGAGGGCCTCTGGGGAGCCGGGTCCAGGAAGAGCTGAAGGATGCTGAACGGAGGCGCTCTGTCCCCTCAGGGCCCCAGCAGGAAGGACAAGGAGCTGGTGCTGGACCTGAACCTCCATGACAACTCCTACAACTTCAGCGTGAGTGTCCACAGCGCCTGCACCCCACCCGCCAGAGCAGGGGGCCCAGGCTGAGGCCTCTTCTCCTCTCCCCCACCCAGTTCCACGTGGTGATCGGCTCCAGGGCCGAGGAAGGTCAGTACAACCTTAACTTCCACAACTGCCACAACTTGATACCAGGACGGGAGCAGCCGTTCAACATCTCGGTGAGCGGACGGGTGGGCAGGCTGCTGACGGGACCGGCTACCCCGTGCCATCGAGTCGACTCTGCTCACGGCGACCCCGTGTGTCAGCATAGAACTGTGCTCCACAGGGTTTTCAATGGCTGGTTTTTCAGAACTAGATCACCAGGCCTTTCTTCTGAGGCGCCTCTGGGTAGACTGGAAACTCCAACCTTTTGGTTAGCATCTGAGTGCATTAAGTATTTGCACCTCCCACGGACTCCAATGCCAAGCTTGTTTGTTTTTGTGTGCCTTCGAGTTCATTCCGACTCATAGTGACCCCACGTGACAGAGTAGAACTGCCCCGTAGGGTTTCCTAGGCTGTAATCTTTCCAGGAGCAGATCGCCAGGTCTTTTTTCCTGCAGAGCAGCTGGTAGGTTCGAACCGCCGACCTTTTAATTAGCAGCTGAGTGTTTAACTGCCATGCCACCGGGGCTCCTCACTTTAAGCTTAGCTCCCTAAAATCCTCCTGGCAATGCTGTGAAGTGGGCACTGTTATACCCATTTGGGAGATGGGAAAATGGCCCAGGTAGAAAGTGGGAGAGCTGGCGACTCACTCTTCACAGCTCTCCCAAGTCCAGAGCTGGGGTCTTGTGACCACCACCACCCACTCCCCCCACCCAGGTGATGATCTGGGAGAAGAACCCCGAGGGCTTCCTGTCGGCGGCGGAAATCCCCCTTTTCAAGCTCTACATGGTCATGTCCACCTGCTTCCTGGCTGCTGGCATCTTCTGGGTGTCGGTCCTCTGCAGGAACACGTAATGCCCTTGCCCCTGGGGGTCCCCACCTCCCCTCGCAGGCCCTCCCACCCTGCCCCCTTCTCATGCCTCCCCCCCCGCTCTCCCCCCCCCACCTGACAGGTACAACGTCTTCAAGATCCACTGGCTTATGGCAGCCCTGGCTTTTACCAAGAGCATCTCCCTCCTCTTCCACAGTGTGAGGCCTGGGCTGGGTGCGCAGCGGGGAGGTGGACTGGGGCTTCGGGCTGAGAGGGACAGACTGTCCGACCACCCCCCAAAGCTCTGCAGAGCCTGGGCTTGGCGGTTCCATTTGTCCAACTGTCCACGTGTCTTTCTTATCATCCGTTCCTGTCTTATGGTGTTCAGCTGTCCATCTAGTCATCTGTCTGTCCTTCCATCCAACTGTGACTGTCCAGCCATTGTTCCAGCTGTGAGTCCATCCCTCAGTCCAGCTGTCCACCCATTGTTCTGGCTGTGACTGTCCATTTTTCAGTCCCACTGCCATCTTTCTGCTTATAACCCTCTGTTTACTGACTTCCTAGCTTACTAAGCATTCTGTTTACTGAACTTTCTACCAGTGATTGTACATGTTCCCGTACTACTGCTACCCCAGTTGTAACCCCATCCATCCATCCACCCACCCGTCTTCCTGACTATCCATCCGTCCGTCCACCTCCAGATCAACTACTACTTCATCAACAGCCAGGGTCACCCCATCGAAGGCCTCGCGGTCATGCACTACATCACACACCTGTGAGTGCTCTTCCCTGGCGGGCGGGCAGGCGGGCGGGCAGGGACAGGCCTCCCCATCTCATCACCCACCCTCACCCCCCTCAGGCTGAAGGGCGCCCTCCTCTTCATCACCATCGCCCTGATCGGCTCTGGCTGGGCCTTCGTCAAGTACGTCCTGTCGGACAAGGAGAAGAAGGTCTTCGGAATTGTGATCCCCCTGCAGGTACATGGCGGGTCCCTGGATGGGTGGACGGATGCAGCCCAGGCGGCGCCCACCCACAGCCCTGGCCCCGCAGGTCCTGGCCAATGTGGCCTACATTGTCATGGAGTCCCGTGAGGAGGGCGCCAGCGACTACAGACTCTGGAAGGAGATCCTCTTCCTGGTGGACCTCATCTGCTGTGGCACCATCCTCTTCCCTGTCGTCTGGTGAGGCTGCAGGAGGGTGGGCAGGCTGGTCGGGACCCCCACCCCATGGGCGTGGAGGGGTCAGCGTGACCATATCCTGTGCACCCCCAGGTCTATCCGGCACCTCCAGGACGCATCTGGCACAGACGGGAAAGGTGAGGCCCAGCTCCCGAGACCTCTGTGTCCCCAGCCCCCTTCTTGCTCCAGGCCTTCTTTCTGCCCCTGGATGCCCCTCCTGGCCTCTGCACCCTCTGGCCCTTCTGCGATGGACACCTCCGTCCTGCCCCACTGGACACCTCCATCCTGCCCCTCCAGACACCTCTGTCCTGCCCCGCTGGACACCTCCGTCAGCCCCTCTGCCCTCGGGACACCTCCATCCTGCCCCGCTGGACACCTCTGTCAACCCCTCTGCCCCCTTGGACACCTCTGTCCATCTTCTCTGCCCCGCTGGACACCTCCATCAGCCCCTCTGCCCTCTGGAAACCTCTGTCCTGCCCCCCTGGACACCTCTGTCCTGCCCCCCTGGACACGTCTGACCTGCTCCCCTGAACACCTCCGTCAGCCCCCCTTGGACACTTCTGCCCGGCCCTTCTGCCCCCTTGGTTGCCCTCTCTGGCCGCTCCTTACTGCCTCTGTCCCCTTGGACGATCCCCCTCTAGACTTGCTGCTCCAGACACTGTCCCAGATGTCCGCTTTGTCCCTTCTTGTTCCCAACCCCTTCATCGTGGCTTCCGCCTTCTTCTCTGACCCCACTCTCTGCCCTCCCCCAGTGGCAGTGAGCCTGGCCAAGCTGAAGCTGTTCCGGCATTACTATGTCACGGTAGGAGCCCTGCTCAGACCTGCCCAGGAAGCGGGGGGCAGGGACTGTGGCCACCCCAGCCCTCCATCGGCCGTGCCCTCTGCCTCCAGCCCCCAGGCCCCTACTCCACTCCCAGCCCCACAATCTCGCTGGTCCCATGGCCCAGGGGGTGGTGCCATGGTCCTGGTGGCCCCACGGTCGGGGAGGTCCCACGGTCCAGGAGGTTCCACAGTCGGGGAGGTCCCACGGCCGGGGAGGTCCCACGGCCGGGGAGGTTCCACGGTTGGGGGAGGTCCCACGGTCGGGGAGGTCCCACGGTCGGGGAGGTTCCACGG